TCATGTCTCCCTTCTTCTGCTAGAAATTAAGAAATTAGCGTATAGTAGTTATTAGTGAACACTTACTAAGGATTGCTAATTTGACAAAACGCCAAAGAAAAACACAGTGGAATCTTCTTTGTATTTACTTTTTTTTGGTCGGGGGTGGGGGGGAATCTCGCTCCGTCACCCAGGCTGGAGGTCAGCCTCTTGCCTGGGCTTCTCAGCGTGCTGGGATTACAGGTGTGAACCCGTGTGCTCAGGCAGTGGGAAGCTTTTGGGAAAATTCTTTAGGAGTTTGTTCACTCTGGTTTTATCTCAATAGCTGTATTCTGTCTTCATTATTTTAAAACAAGTGATAATATAAGATTCTAATTTCAGGGTTCTCAACCTGTTGCTTTGGGGTGTCTAATGTAATCTTTAAACAAAATTGTTCTGTTTGCTGGTGATAGATATTTATGCTTAGAAACACAGGGAAAGGGTCCTTTCTGGTTTCAAAGTGTGATGTGTTATTCTTCAAAAGATAAATACTTAATGAGACAAGCATCTCCAAGAGCTTCAGAGAAGCAAATGTGTATTCCTCTTTTCCTCAAACCACTCCCCAAATAAGAGAGGAAACAACTGCAGAGATGACAGCCCAGCACATCCCAGTCAAAGAAATTCCATCAGTGTAAGATTTCAAGATATCAGGTCCAAAGAAAATCTTTCATTTTGTAAAATTATTTTTCTCTTACAAATTAGTTTGTGTTTGTAATGCAGAGGACTAAGTGAAACAAATAGCAAATGAGTAAAATACCACATAAGCCTAAGATTTGAAAGGCCATATATGAGACGAAAGTGGTTTTTTAAAGAAGGTCACCATAGCGTCTGTTCTTCCTACAGCCTGACCACCGAAACCACCACTCCTGACTCTGAGTACAGTCTTCAGAAAAGACCGAAACATCCAGGCTGACTTCAGACATGTGCGGGTAAATAAGGCTTCATACTGATGAAACATCGTTTGATATCCTCTCTTCTAAGCAATATAAAAGATGTCTAAGAACTCTGAGAAAAACATACTTGCCATTCTCAGTGCTTCTTTTTTCTCGTATCATAGGGCTATTTTCAATGACAATAACAACTCAGGAATGAGCACACACAGGGCTTATTCCTCTCCTCCTTTGTTCAGGCTCCTGCTGTCTGGGTCTGTCCTTTCTGTCTTTCTTTATTTGGCCCCCTTTCCTCTCTTTCAAGATCCCTGCAGTGTCTCACCTTCTCCGTGGATTATACTGAAAACATAAAGGTGACCAATTCCTTTCTCATCCTAAGGTTCCTTCACATTTCTCTCAACACACATCATCATCATCATAATATTGTTGTGCATTTCTAGGGGCCTAATGTGTGAGGGTGACTGAATGTTACCTCACTGGTCCTCCAAACAAACCTGGGGTGGTAAACTATTGACCTCTCTGCAGATAAAGGAGCAGGACTAGCTGGTCAAGAGGGAAGAAGAAGATTGCTGCCAACCTGGCCCCAAAGCCTGCATTCTATCCCTGAATCTGCGTTTGATTTAAACAATAAAATGTTTTATAAAATCATGGCAATTATATCTTTATTTTAAAATCAAACATCCAAGGGACAGTTAGCATGTCATAATTTGTCTTGTTTGTTGATACAAGAAATTGTAAAGTCCACAGGGTCCCAGATGAGAAAGAGAATCAAATAAGGAGAAAAAGTACTAAAAGAGAAGCCTCGGGTGGCACCTATGGCTCAAGGAGTAGGGCGCCGACCCCATATACCGGGGGTAGCAGGTTCAAGCCTGGCCCTGGCCAAAACTTTATAGAAGAAAAAAAAAACAAAAAAGGAAGCCTCAAAATATTTCCACTTTGTGGCCCTGCTGAAGCCAGTGCCCGTGGCCAGCTGCCCAGTCTTCTCTCCAATCTTCTCCTAGGCCAAAAAACAAAGCAAAACAAAGACTGACAGAGTAACAGGAGATTTATCAAAGAGAATGAAAATCATTTTCAAATTTTTAAAGTCGGGAAAGAGAGAGTGTGAGCTCACTTTGATTATAAAATTGATACTGCAGAAGACAGTAAAACACTTTTTCTGGACTCAATCAGATCTACTTTAATGGGAATAATTTTGAATTGCCTTTAATTGCCACTCTGAAGTCCTAGGCTACAGCAGAATGGACTGCAACTCAGAGGCCTGATGGGGCCGGGTATCCTTTGATACGTCACTAATCTACTTGTAACCACCTGTAAAATCAGTCAGCTGTGCTACCTACACTGTGTCTAAGGTTCTCTCCACCTCCCGTCCAAGTCTGCCAGTTTCTATCCAAGGAATTCTCATTGTTTGCGACCTAAGACCCCCCCCCTTCTTCCTTTGATGCCGCCGCTGTCCTCCTCCCTCTGCCAGCTGATGCCCGAGCATCTTCCCTTGTCTTTATGTTCTCCTTGTTCCTCTTTTTCTTATGGGATTTTTTAAAGATTCTGTCTTCATATTCTAGTTGTTTGTGTTTTTCCCTTTTATTTTTCTTATGGATGGTTCCATTGTCTTGGATTTTACTTTTGGGAAAATCTTTTTACTTCTCTTTACCTTTCTTTCTTTCCTGTAATACTTTTTATGTTTTCTTTCTTTCCTTTTTATCTCCTTTCCTCTAAAGGACTCATGATAACTCGAGATTTCTTTTCATTTTTAAGAAAAGAGCACTTTCTTCACCAAAGTACTCACAGTATCACAGTTCTGCTCTTCCTCACCAAGAACATCCAGTTCAGGAGGAGAGAGGTTCCAGGTATATCCAGCAGGGAGTCCATCGTTCCTCACAAAAGTACATGTGGTACATGGTCTTTATGTCAGCCAGGCCAGGGTAAGGGCTCACGGCACGCAGTCGATACACAGTGATGGGAAACAGTGGACGAACTGCTCTACAGCCAGGCCTGAGCTGTCGAGCACAGTAACTGAGTGTTTCCCAGTCGGGTGACACAACACCCAGCTCAACCTGGTGCAAACAGGAAAGGCCAGCATAACTGAGAACCCCATAAATAGTGATGCCGCCCAGAATCTACATTCTCTGCAGGTGTCTGCGCTGCCCTCTAGGGCATTATTGTGATTCCATCCTGGCTCCCTCCTGAACTCAGCAGACCCTCAGACGATAAGCCTATTGCTGACATGCAACAGAAAATGGATTTCCAGCAACAGTCCTAGGATTTGACTGGCTGGATGATGCACTTCATTCCAAACCAATCCCTCTGGAGAGGGAGGTGGGATGTAGTCCTTCCCACTGCAGTCCACCACTGCAGTCCTGCTCTCCTCGGGAGCCTGGGTGAGGGCTCAGGCACCATACACAGCCTCAGGGCGCGAACAAGGAGGGGAGCAGCTTCTTACTGGAAAGCCGCCCAGCAGATTCCACGGCGGGGGCAAAGGCGAACACAGATAAATAAAAAGGGGTAACTGAAATACTGCTTGTTCTTCTTCCAGGGAATTGTTTTGATAATTATATAACTATAAGAATTAATAAAAATTCTGTTTTGTGAGAACGGAGCACCTGACGTCCCTTTCTAATCAATTCCTCCAGCACCTCACTCTGAGATTACCGACCAATGCAGTTGCCCACTCTTATCACTGTTCAATAACTTCAACGTCATTACTCTCAAATAATGAGGAGAAAAGAACAACAGTAACGAACCACAACAAATGACAGTTTGGTAAAATAATAATATTCTCATGGGAACGGAGTGCTTAAAAACCAATTTGTGGATATTTTGAGAGAATATACACTCAGCTCAAGCAAACATAGAGGAAAAATAACTTTTAAGAGTAAGAGACAAGAAGAGGACCCATTCACATGTGAGCGGCTGTTGCTTTCTCATAGTCTCAGTCTCATTACACATCTTCTAGCTCCCAGCAGATACAGAGCTCACAGGACTGAGGGCCAGGACAGTGACAAGAGAATGCACAGAGAAGCCGTGGACACGGTCATATAGTGACTGCAGTGGTCAAGTCGTTATTGAAAGATAATTAGATCATATGCAGGGCTTCAAGTCCATAGTCCTGGAGAAAAAGGCCCATGGGTGTTATGTCCAGAATCTAGAGTTTCTGGATGTCCATTTCAGAAGTAATTCTTCCCAATAAGTAGAATATGAATACTTTTATTTTCCCAGTACTAAAGGAAAACAAGAGCAGAAAAAAAGAAAACTAGAATGTTATCTGCAGCATGAGTCATCGGCCGCTGCAGCTCACAACACCCAGGTCTCTCCCTGCCTCGGCAGCTCTTCAAAAGGAGAAGACTATCTTTTAATGACACACATAAATCCCTCCACTGCCTGGCCGCAAAGCACAATTAAGTCTGGCCTTTTATGCTTAATGAAACACCTGCCCACATGCCAACAGTCGCTTTGAGCTTTTTCTGTGTACCTCCAACAGCCCTAGCAACAACCCAGGTCTACCTGAGATGCTCCTGGTCGAATCTGCATGGCTCTGCCATCACTGACTCCACACGTCTCCTGACAAGCCAGTTAGCCAAGGGAAACGCACAGTCGGCCACCTGTATGAACCGCCTGAACGGTTTCCTTAACTTTTATACATGAAATTGTTGTTTTTCAAATTCTTGCCAGTAAATACATGCTTCTGTTTTTCAAGTTGTGGCTGTGATAGGAAGGTATTTAAACAAAGTCATCGCTTCGATACTCATGCTCAGCCCCACTTCCCTTTATTAGGATAAGTTTTCAGATTTCAATGTATACTTACTTGTATTATAAAGGCTAGGAGTCCACAGAGAATCTCAAAGCATACATTTTCAATGTTCATTTTGAACCACAACTAACAACACAGGTAAAACTATGTAAATGAAATTTAACTGAAAGATTTACCTTGAGAGATTTAGTCGTCTTTACAATATTCAATTTTTCTAGCCCTATCTGAAGTCTTGAAAGCAAATGCCTCCTTGTAAAGAAGTTAACACAGCTACAAATGCAGGGCTCTTGTTTTCGTGAAGGGTTATGTACTGGACGGTAACTAGTAAAGGACAGAGTCCCTCTCACCTGTTTGGGAGTCACCCCAGGCATGCGAATGTCCATTGTGAAGTCTGATGAGTCCACGGGGGTCACTGGTCTGCTCGCACCAAGACAGTCATTAGAAAATGATCTGGTAGTTTCTTTAAACCTTAAAAGAAGAAGAAAATTTCAATACTCTTGAACATAACGGAATCTAAACTCAACATGAGACGGGGATAAAAAGGAATTTTGGGATCCTAAGTTAAAGATTATTGATGGAGAGCCAATGAAAACTCTGAAGATGTGACGACTGTATAATGTTTTGAATCATACATAGGTCAGCGTTTTATAGTCCGTGAACAATATATAACCAGTTTGTAAACAAAATATAAGCAACACAACCAAGCAGGCTACATTTAAAACTATATTCAATAAAAAGTCATCAAAATATATTTGTTCCTATTTGATGAAGGTACAGTATTAATGTACTAGAAATTATTGCAGGCATGACAATTTTCTAATGGCAGAAATAGTAACCACAACCCAGTAAAAATCTCTGTTTGATTGTCTATGTCGATTGCCCAGTATAACTAATCAGAAACAAAAAACTAGCCATGTTTGCTAGGAGGCAGAGTTGAATGATGAGGAAATAAAAAACCGAGATGTGAATTACGAATGTGCAAGTGTATAAATATTTAACAGGGTGATTACGCGGCGGGTGTGCACACTGTTCGCCCAGAGCTGCACAGCCCTGTCTGCTCCCACCACCGTCTATCTCGGGGTTTTATTCCCTGGACTGTTACCTACAAGGCGTCGGGTCTAAGCGGCTGCTTTGCAGTCCCCCCACCCCGAGAGGGAGTGATCCGTACTGGAGGACCACAACTTCTATTGGAGTTTTGAAAGCCAGGGCAGCTGGGCTGCAAGACCTGGGGCTTTCTCTGCAAGGGGGACTTTAGAAGTTGTTTCTGGGCTGACGTTCCCAGTGGTTTCAGCGAAGGGAAGCAGCCGGGCGCGTCGCCCGCTAGCGAGTCGGTCCTCAGCCGCACGCCCAGGACCCCCGCGGCCGACACCCACCTCTTGAAGACGGAGAGCGGGCCCCGGAAGCCCAGGCAGCCGGCCGTGAGCGCGAGCAGCAGCGGCGGCAGCAGCAGCGGGCGGCGGGCGCGGCCGGCCATGTCCGGCCCGCGGGCGCGGGGCGTGCGGGGCGGCGGCACCTGCGTCCTCCGCCCTCCGAGCCGGCGCCGCCCGGGGCTAGACGCGCGCGCTGCTTATCGCTCCCGAGTGACAGCGAGCGCCGGGGACATCACACGAACCCGCGTCAGTCATCACTCAGGACCTGCGGAAATAGAAGCAGATAATGGATGACTAACACGTTCCAGCGTCTGTCCTCAGCACATCCCGCCGAGGTTCCTCAGACATCAGCGGTTCCCCCAGCCCGCGCCCGGGGGCACCGGGACAATGCGGGTCTGTGGGTCCCCCGCGCCCAGGATTTCAGGGTCCGCACAGCAGAGCCCGGTCTGCGTCCCCGCGCTCCCTCCCCTGCGTCCACCCCGTTTCTTTCCCACTTCTCCCCCTTTGGTCCCTCACCCTCCTGATTTCCTTTTAATGCTCTATCCCGCTCTTCTGCCACCAGAAAAGCGCTTAGCATTTTTGCAAAATGTAAACAAACGTATTCATACAAATGACAGGCTAAGGCACAAGGGAAAAAGGCTAGGAGAGGTGACGACAAAGCACTTGGTTTCTCCAACAGTCAGACAGAAGACTTGGAGAACAAAGGCGTGTTTATATGCGTGCCTCGCAGAGCCCAGATCAGAGGGAAGATCCCCCTGCCAAGAGCTCCAAGGATCAGCACAGAAGGAATTGCTGAACTTGTCAGAATTATTTTAATACAAACAAAAATTCCACAGCTGATATATAACACGTAAATGCCTATTTAAAAATCCTGCATCTACTATACAAAATAATACTTGGTGACTTATAAGGCCCAAAAGATGCTCTTTCTTGTATAAAGTGTGGAGATTTACCAAACCATGAAGGAGAATCTCAGCTGACCCCCAAGTGAATTTTATCTCCAAAAGGGTATGATCAAAATCGTTGCATTATTATAAATGAGAGGCCACGCAGAGCTAGGGCAATATCGCGGTGGTTTATGGGGAGGACCCAACTACACTAAATTTTACAAAATTCATGATTTGACTTTACTGCTGCTGTGAACATATTTCGGACTATGTACAAGTCTGCAATTTTAGCCAGATGGCTTTAATTAAAATTGTATCATTCGCAATATAGAAACCCTGTACCTCCAAAGGAAAAGATTTCTTAAAGTTTTATTTCAACCAGTAATTATAAACATGGTTTGGAGAATCTAGAATGAATTCCATGTCTAGATGCATTAACGGTAAGAAACAAAAATCAATAAGATCGAACAGAAGTACTCCCTAAAAGTAATGCAGCTACCTCTAAAGTATCCCCTGGAAATCACAAGATACGCTTAGTGAAGTTAATCTTAAAACAAACAAACAAACAAACCAAAACTAAACAAATAATCCAGAACCAGAACAAACATGCCAACCAAAACACTAACTAACCTTGAATTAAGTGAGATTCCTCGTGGTCAGAGCTTTCCAGATAGCAGAAACATACATACACCAATATAAATAAAACATAATAATATCCAACAAATTCAAGGATGCTTGAGGCTCACCCGCACCCAAGCAGCAGAGTTAATTTACATAAGCAATGGCATTTCAAAAGGATTTATAGTATTTGTTTGAACTTTCTCTTTGGCTTGCTGTTTGAGCTTTCAGCAACAAAATCCTTCAGCAGTATCCTTACCCTGTGGGAGAAGAAAGAACTCCTTCTGGGGAAGGGAAAGGGCTGGCCTGAATGCTAAGCTATGGCCTCTGCTAGCAACAAAGTATAATCTTGTCAAATGATAATACTTAACATTCCCTGAAGTTTTGTGTGTGTGTGTGTGTGTGTGTGTGTGTGAAGAGGGACTATATTTTAATATTTCCTTCAGAACAGAATTCAAGGACAGTTGTTCTTCCAGTTGGCCAAGAGATTTGGTATTATACAAACACTTGAAAACAAATTTGGTATTAAAATTCTCTAGCAGAAACACACCCTTAAGTACTAGCTTTTGAAAAAAATTCCACTTATCTTTTTGATTTTGTTACCTTTGATGTCCCTTAATCACCCACTTAAAAAATGAAGAATTAAAGTTACGGGTAGAAGCAAAGTTGATATTTGTAGCCACAAAGAGAACAAAAGGTCTCGGAAATGAAAGCTGATTCTATTTCTTGTTTCTGGCTGCCTTATAAGTGAAAGACAAAATACAAAACATCAGACTAAAAAAAGTCAACCATTTCATTTGTTAAGAGTTCCCACTAATGTGGAATATGTAATATTCAAATCTAGTCTTCTTATTTAATATTTTAAAACTTCAAGATATGTTGCCCTGAGATAATTTCTTCACTCATCCAAAAAAAGTACAAATTTCACAATCTGTACAAAATACTGTAACATCTATTGGAGTTCTATAAAATGAATAAAACTTAAAGAGAATATAATCTATTGAGGGAATGAGAACTTTCCGAAGGTCCTGTTTAGAATGTGGTCTTCTAGTAAGAGTCCTATTGAAGGGAATCAGGGAATTTTGAGGAAGGAAAGAAACTTCAAGAGGGTAAGAAAAAAGAGAGGGGTCAAAGCAGTCTTCAGTGGAAGAGGGGGTTATGGAGAGACATGCTACAGGTTGTAAGAGTTTTGACCTTGCGAGGCTGACGATGACCAAGTGTAGGACTGCCCGGTGGCTGGGGCAAAGGAGCCCAGCCAGGGAGCACCATCCACGTTTGAATAACAAGTAATAGGAGTTCTTCTGCTAGTCTCAAGCTGCAGGCCCAGACTTACTACTTTATTAGTAATATGGAACAAATGTTCTCTTTACATATCCATAAGGTGACCACTGTGCTATCCTGAGTCTCTTGTTGAATACATGAATCAGTGAAAGAACAGACAAAATGGCTAATATATGTATTTGAATATATGACCAGTTATGAATGTCAGCTTTTTTGTTTGTTTGCTTTTTAAATGAAAATTAGAGGGAATGGGCTGCCTCGTTTGTAAGAGCCAAATTAGTTTGATGGCCTCTGGACTAGGCTGTACTTACTCTCCGGTAATTTTCCTCCTGCCATCAATATCCACACAGGTCTAAGCTATAAATTGTTCTTACCTGAAGAACTTATGTTCTGAAGGGTAACTGAAGGGAAACCGCCTGACTCATGGCTGCCCTGCTCACTACCTGCTTAAAACTGGGCAAATCCTCAGCCTCTCCGGGTCTCAGTGTCTTCATTTGCAAAATGGAAATAATCATACTGCCTATCTCATAGGGGAGTTGCCAGGAAAAAATTAATATCTTTAGGACAGTGCCAGACACATAAATGTTCACTATTATTATTGTTGCAACAAATATTATACCTATGAGTGCATGGGGCTATCTGAATCCCGGGGTGGTGATAATCAAGATAGATGATTATCTGCTCTTATAGAAATTACTTTCTCCTAGATTAAAAACAAATAAAAATAACTACCAAATTATAAAACTTATTTTTCTTTTAAGGAGAATTCATGCAGCTCCCTTAATGATTTATGATTAAACTAATTAAAGGACATACATCCATTCACAGAACAATTTAACTTTTGGGGACTCTTTTCATGAGCAAAACCTGAACAAGGCACAACCATGTTTAGGAGGGTATTAACTAGTGTCGTTCACAGTAGCCAAAACCCCGATGTTTCTGATAGCAAAGAACGGGAAGCCATGTAAATACCCATCAGAAGGAAATTGGTGAAAAAAAATAAACTTTTTTATACTCACAAAAGCCAGAATACTATGCATCACCTTAAAGAAGGGCAATGTAGGTCGTTTTTATAGCCAAGGGCATGTTCTAAGATTATTATGTTTGTTTTTTTACATAACTAGAAACAACTAATCTCAAGGCTATAGAGAAATGTTGCAAGTACAGTGCAAATAACCTGTTTTCCAGTAATCTTGTTTGAGAGTAAGCTACTCAGTGCTTCATCACCTGTGAACACTTGAGTGTGATTTCTTAAAAACAAGTGCAGTCTACTACATAACCTCAATAAAGTCACCAAAACAAAATCAACAAAACACTCCGACACATTACTACCCTTCAATCCTCAGGCTTCAAACTTTGCAAAATGATGTCCTTTGAAAGCAAAAAGTCCAGTTCAGAGTGAGGCACTGAAGGACCGTTGTTGAGCCTCCAGGCTCCTTCACTCCCAGTTTCTCCATCTGTCCTTAACCTTTACGTCTTGACTCGATAGGCCGGTTATTTCCCAGAACACCTTGCAGTTAGGATTATGTGTCATTAGGACCAGATACAGGTCGTGCACCTTTGGCAGGAACATCGTGGAAGCAATGCCGTGTTCTCACCACACCTCCAACACTTGTTTGCTGCGCCATATCAAACTACTCCAAAACTTAATAGTTGAAAACAATAAAGCACTATCTTGCATGTTTCCGTCCATCAGGAACAGCTGAGCTAGGTGGCTCTCTCATGAGTCTGCAGTCAAGATGTTGGCCAGAACTGCAGTCCTCTGGAGGTGTGAATGGGACTAAAAGCTGGACTTGGGAGATGGCTTGCTCACGTGGCCAGCAAGTTAGTGCTGGCTGTAGGCAAGAGGACACGTCCTCATCATGTGGCCCTCTCTTTATGGCTGCTTGAGTGTCCTTCCCTCATAGCAGCTGGCATGCCCCAGAGCAAGCGATGTCTTTCACTCACCACCACTTGTCTGACACCTGTTTGCTGACAGGTCAGCGCAGGGCAAGACTAGGAGGAAGCACGGCCTTCCCGGGAGGGGCGGACACAGTGCTTAGTGAGGAGGCCCAGGACTGGGCCTGTCTTATCACAGATAATATTCGCTTTGGCCACTGCATTAAGGGGGTGTCTTGCAGGCTTTCCACCGTACAGATAGCGTTTTTGCCTCTTTAATTTTTTCTTTTAGTGGAGAGGGTACTGTTACTTTTATAATGATTCCATTTTCCATCAAACTTTCAACTTATTCATCTATTTATTATATCATAATGGACTCATGCTTTCCTATTTTATTCAATGGGGTTTAATCTATTACTAGCTTTATTTAAATTATTTCC